CTCTTTCGGCCACTGTTCTCCACCTCCATCTCTCACTCTCTATCACCTATTTCAACCGCCATTCTTCCCCTCCGGTTCAACAAATTTCTCAATTTTCTTCAGCATTCCTGAAATCCATATACCTAGAAATGACGTCCCAGGTACCCAGGTCAGCTTTTCGCCTTTACTTTCATACCAGTCTGTTATTTGGGTTTTCTTCTGCTTGTTTCAATTTCATATAGTGGTCTAGAAAATTGCTCAAAATCCAAATTCTTGGTACATCGTTTTATTTATCATGCTTATTTGCTTGTTCCGTATATATGGTTCTATTTGTTTGGTTAGGCTGAGTTGATGAGTGCATGAAAAAGATGGCCTGCAGGTGTTCGATGAATCACCTTAATGAGCGCACTATGGTATTCTTTGAGATACAAACCAATTGGGACAATTCTCATGGTATATACTTAAAGGTGAACTTCTAGGAGGACCCAATGAACCCATCTAATTGGAAGGAAGAACATGTGAGTTTTATTATAATTTGTTTACGAAGATGTCTTTACAGTGCATAATGGTTTTGTTAGATCACTGTTGACATTAGTTTGATTTCCTTTTAACAATGCTTGAGAAATGTCCCTGTTTTTACATGAGGACTTACACAAGTGCCATATTATGTCAGTTTATAGTGAATGGATACTTGGTTGTGTCATTTGATATTTGGAATTCTTTTAGATTTATTTTCTTATTTTTCCGTTTTTGTGTCATATCTTGAGTTCCTTTCATTTGGACGTCGCCATTTAACTTGTGCTGTGAACAAGTTAATACTACATTGTTTTGTGTCATTGTGAAATTGAGAAATAAACATAGAGAGGGTCTGCTGCTGCTGCTGCTGCTTCCTCTCTCTCATTTACCTAAAAGAAAGGGTCTATATCTCTAGCATTTGCATCCAAATGTCCCTTGCCATGCCCTGCCCTACCCTGGCCTGCAGTACTAGCTAGCACTAGTGCCTCTGTTGTACGTAGTCCCCTGATTTGGTGAGCCATGTGATGCTTTCAGCTCCCTAGATCCAACTCCAATGGCTATTTTTTATTAAGTCATAATTTACTGCCTATAATTAGGACCTACGGTTTGAAGTTTTTAATTTGGAACAATTCATGTATACTATTAAAACATAAATGGTGCAAAGCCAATGCCAAGAATAGAAAAAATAAGCAATATGATCATACGGGGGTTAGCATCCACATAGATGTGCACTGATCAAGCTTGAGCAGTGAGGTCTTTTGTCTTGTGGTTAGTAGGTTTGCTTTTCCTCGTCCATTAGATGTTTTCCAATTCTGAGGTGATATGATACTCTTCCTCTTGGCATTATTCTCATGGCTGTGAAATTTCAGTTTGCAATGAATGGCTATATCAATCTAAAAGATTATTTTTGTGTAGAAATTGAATGAAAGTAAATTGTACTGCATACCTCTGTGGTGTCTATGTTCTGGAGTTAATATTGTTGATCAATGATCAGTCTCTTTCATAATTCTTTCATTGATCAATATTGTTGTTTTCTCATTGTTTTGGATTTAACTTGATTGAGTTGTCATGCACTGCTTGAAATTTTGGATACCATGTGAGTTATAAGTTGCAAATGAAATTGAGACGAAAAACAATGAACTCTATTTTGATAAGAAACTTAGTCTGCTTTGAGTTTAAGTTTGTCTTTTCTTGATACGTAAGTAGGAGAATTTAAATTGGGCTTGTTTGTGCCTTTGCACATCTGCATAAAAGGAAAGTGATGGTTCCAATAGAGCAGATCAAAGATGTACCTCATTAATACCAATTTGTCTTTTGTATTATTATGTATATTCATATTTATATATGTGCATATTGACATTACTTTATTTTGTTTCTATTGTATAGGAAGATGATGGATGAATTGGAGAAGGTGAAGCAACAATTGGTAGAGTATGAGATCATGTCACGGCCCATATCCCACAAGCTTGGTCTCTAGTGATTTGAAACCCTAACTCTAAGTCTTGAGATAATTGACCCTTTTTTTCATGACAGTTGGACCTATATTTTTTGCTTCTAGAAGATTGTTGGCATTGAGAACCTTCATCAATTTGGCGTGGGACAACATTCCATTCAGTTGCAGGAAGTGTACTGTAGTTATAAGGAAAAAAAACAAATGTAATTGAGGAACTATTTGTGTATCAGACTGACCATGTAATTATTTAGTCCTCATGGAATGAAATTGAGTTCAATTTACTTGAGAAATTTCAGTCTTGAATCTGTTGTTTTTATATATTCGCAAGTGTATGCAATGGAAAAATACTTTTATTTATATTATACATTGAAGAGTGTATTGCTCGCGTATAACCTTTTTTATTTTTTCAAGTCTCGTATTGGAATGAAATTAATGGGGGAGTATGGAGTTTTTGTATTGCCATTGTATATCCCTTTATTGCTTGTGTATTGCTATTATATTGCCCCCGTATATCCAATTTTTTAAAGTCTGTGTTGGAATAAAATTATAGTGGGATTATGGAGTTTTTGTATTGCCATTGTATAGCCCTTAATTGCTTAGGTATTGCTATTGTATTGCTCCCATATAGCAATAAAGGGCTATACAATGGCAATACTCAAACTCCATATTCCCTCCCCCTTATAAGTTTATTCCAACACAGACTTGAAAAAAGGATATACGGGAGCAATACAGTAGCAATACACAAGCAATACAAGGCTATACAATGACAATACACAAACTCCATACTCCCCTATAAATTTATTCCAACACAGACTTGAAAAAAAAGGATATGCGGGTGCAATATAATAGCAATACACAAGCAATAAAGGGCTATACAATGGCAATACAAAAACCCCATAATCCCACTATAATTTTATACCAACACAGAATTGAAAAAATTGGATATATGGGGGCAATATAATAGCAATACACAAGCAATAAAGGGATATACAATGGCAATCCAAGAACTCCTTACTCCCCCATTAATTTCATTCCAACACAGACTTGAAAAAAAAAGGTTATACGCGAGCAATACAGTTGCTCTCTTCAATGTATAATATAAATAAAAGATTTTTTCCATTGCATATGCTTGCGAATATATAAAAACAACATATTCAAGCAATAAAGGGCTATACATGTTCAATACATATTCAATACAATCTGTCATGGCATTTGCCAATTAAATCACTAATTTGGTTACATTTGTATTTTTTTCTTCTTTGCAAGGGGAAACGATAAAACCATGGAAACTAGAGATTGACAAATTTCCTTCTAACTTGACTTTCATGAATTGATGAACTAACAATGTTATCTCATTACATCTTAAGATATACATAAAAAAGTGGCAAAAAAAACAAAATCAACCCGTAGGCTACCCCATCATCAACCTTGAGCTGAAAAACCTGCAAAACCAAAATCCATCAATCTCCACCGATCTTTAACATTTCTCATTCACAAGTAAAAATGTGTTTCTTCAATTTCTTTTGGTCAGAATAAAAACCTAACTGAGTAATAAAATTCAATAAGCAAAAGAAAAACTTCAAAAGAACCTGGCCATGTGAAGTATGTGAGGGGGATGACATTGGCAAATTGGCAAACTGACATGTTTATAGCAGGGAGGACAGGATTATTAATTTGAACAAACAAAAGAATTAACCGTAATAATACTAAAACATATTAGTTTTGGTTTTTTTTTAAATCTAACTATACAATTTCACTATTGTCTGCACAACTGAGAGATTATGTTCCAAACCAAAGGGGCATCAACAAGACTATATCTGATTGCTCTAAAATAAAAAGAAAAAAAACATTTATATTGCAGACCAAAGGGGCATCAGCAACATGGATATATCTGATTGCTCCCAAAAAAAAAATATGTTAAGGGTTCAAGTTTCAATCGATATTTGCAGATTGATTATCCTTCCCCATACCCAAATGGACAACAACAAAGTAAAATGAAAACAAGCTGCAGCATCCATCAACCTCTTATTGTTATTGTTGCATAAACTAACATCTCTCTTACTCATCATCCAGCACATTTACATGTGGATAACAGTTAAAAGAAAATTAGGGCAATGCCTACCTTCAAGCACTTCAATAATTTCGTCGCATTTTCAGATCAAAACATTATACATATAGATAGTAGCAAACAATTTCAAGTGGATAATGGTAACAAGATTTTGAAGCAAATATACCTCTTAACCAAAAAGCAACAGTTTTAGCTATTCATACCTCTTGACAGAATGTAGCCTCTTAAGCAAGTATTTCAAACTGAAACCTGAGGCAAAACATAAAACAAACTCTGTTAGACACCATAAAATTTCAAAAAACAGCAAAAATAGTACAGAACAATTAATTTTCCTAATCTTTGCCAATAACATTGTTTGCTGCTAACCAAATCCCTAAGAAGACCCATTAGTTTCTCATAATCCTTGAGACTCAAAATTAATCAATAATTTCTCCAAGAATATTACTTAACAAACATAATTTTCTAAAATTGCAGAAACTAGCAAAGAAAGAGGTGAGAGACTCAGAATTTATATAGATTTGGGATTTGAAGATGAAGCCCAGAGAATAAGTGTGGATTGCGATTTGGGGGGAGGGGTGGGGTGGGTTTACTGGCTCTGAAAGTCGAGAGAAAACCATATTATACAGAGAGGCTTTGAGTTGGAGGATTCGCACCATCGTGGAGATCGACGATGGAGGTCGCTGGTCACGACTGTGGCTTGTCTGTGGAGCTCGCGAGTCGGATGGCGACGTTGGCCTCTCTGCGGAGGTCAACGACGGAGGGCGTGAGTCGAAGAAAGACTAGAGACAGAAGATGATTAGTGAGAGAGCAAAGACTTAGAAGAAAAAACAAGTTATAGAGGGGCGATACACTCTCAATTGGGAGTTTTATGAGGGACATTTGTGATTAGGTTTCAAAATGGGGATATTATTGAGAAAATTAGGTGCGCCGGGGGCAAAGCCGCCAATTTCCCAAAATTTTGTGACTCAAAAAGCCGAGGAGTGTCCCCAAAATGTCCAAACGCCGTCGTTCCCAGCCCAACCACAAGGTAGTACAGTACAGACATACATATTCCCAGTGTATTCACTCCATTCATATATCCCAAAAGCAAAACAGAAAAAGAGAATGGCTGAAATTAGATGATCCCTATTCTTTAGGTCCACAGAGCCCAAGCCAGAGCCACTGAGAAGCAATTTTGGCTTCTTTTGTGGTTTTGAATTTTGGTTTTTCAAATTTTGGGGCTAGGTTTGTGGGGGAGACGGCAATGGCGGAGCAGAGGAACAACAATAGGTGGAACTGGGAGGTCAGTGGCTTTGAACCGAGGAAGTTGTCTTCTTCGTCGTCGACGGCGTCGAGCTTGGACCATGACGATTACAAGCCTGGTGCGCCTTTAGTTCGGAGGTACTCGATCTCTGCTGCCTCGGCTTTGGCTCAGTCTGAGCTCTCCAACCACTCTGTGAGTTCTAAGCTCCAGAAACTCAAGGACCAAGTTAAGGTAATGCGTTGTTTGGTTTTGTTAATTAGGGTATGAGCTGTGATTAATGGAGTTTTGAACTGAATCAGTGTTAAAGTCAGTGGTTTGTGGTTCAAGAGTGTGAGTTGTTGGAAATGCATTTTGAAACTATGATAATTTGGCTTGGAGAATGTGAACGCTTTGTGCATAATGTGAGAGAATAAGTGGTTGCGTTTGTTCTGGAGCCTTTTGAAGTTATTTCACTGTTTTTATGTGAAGATTATGTTGGGTTTAGGAGGTCTGCTACAACATTTCTTTTTGGACAGCTTGCTAGAGAAGATTACTTGGAGTTGAGACAAGAAGCAAGTGAGTTGCACGAGTATTCTAATGCCAAACTTGAAAGAGTTACACGTTATCTTGGTGTTCTTGCCAATAAAACCCAAAAGCTATATTGTAATTAAGAGATTTGGTTATGCTGTTTGATTTTGCGTTTGTCGGTTTAAAGGATTTCTGAAGTGGTATGGGACTTCTGTCTAAATTCAAGATGAGTGATATTTTTTGACATGGGTACAAGGTTTGATATTACATTGCAACAAAATAAAACTACTTTTTTCTTTTTCTCTTGTGATGTATTTGCACTTTGAGATTAGTTAATCCAACAAAACTTAATGTCCTTCACCCCAGCGTTACTTTTTGTAAGGTTTTTGATGTTCTTGGGTTATCTTAATGGATTTGAAAGTTTGTCTACATTTAAATGCCAGATCAATTTGCCCTTGAAACTGAGGCTAGAATTTCTCCGCTGATCAATGAGAAGAGAAGGTTGTTCAATGACTTATAGACAGCCAAAGGTACTCATCTTCTGTGAGTTTTCTCCTTATGGGACTCTCTCTCTCTCTCACGCAGTCACTCACACCCATAAAAAAAGGCATGCCACACATAAGCACTTTTAAATTTAATTTTCAAGGTTGTTGAGGTATTTAATTGATCTTACAAAAGTTCAACGGGGTTGTATTTTCTAACTAGCCTTTAATTCCAGGAAACATAAAGATATATTGTCGTGCAAGACCATTATTTGAGGATGAAGGTTCCTCAGTTGTTGAATATCCTGATGACTACAACATCCGTGTAAATACTGGACAAACCAACTCAGGATAGACACACACAATGGTTGCTCTCTTTTCCTCCCTCTGCATTTGTTTGTGTGTGTCTTTGCCGGAATGTGTATCTGATGCATATAAATTTGTACTTGTATGCTGACTTCTATTCCTCTAGCCAGTTCAGGGTGTTGTAACTTGATATTTTCTTTTACAAATTTTACGTTGATGTATTAGGGACTTTAAAAAAGAAATGAGAAGTGATTCTTCATTATTAGATTTGAACCGTGGACTTTAAAGCGTTGATGTATTAGGGACTTTAAAGCGTGGTGGGCTTTTCATTGTTTGTCACATTCCTTTTTGTAATTTGGATAATTCTTTCCACTGGTTTACCACACAATAAACAACGGAATTCAATGTACTAGAGCATTAAATTGCCACAATGAATGGTGTGCCTTTTACTGTTTTTGGTACAGTAAGAGATTTAGTGGTAGTTGTTTCATTTTATTTATTTATGAAAGTAGTTTCAAGTTGTGCACGAGATTCATGATATTTGGCCAACTCTGTAACCTTTTTTCAGGAAGGATCTAGCCATGATTGTGGTTTATATGCTCGTTCTTTCGAGGAACTATTCGATTTGGCCAACTCCGATTCAACTTCTACGTCGAGATTTAAATTCTCCGTTACAGTTTTTTAGCTCTACAATGAACAGGTACTTATTTTTTTTGGTCGAACCACAAAAGAGAAGAGAGTTATGTCGCCGGTTAAAATTAGCTTTTGAACAGTAGACCCCATTTTGTATCCTGACCGTGTCTTTTCCTTATCAATTTTTGTAGAAAGTACAAACACAATTAACATAGAAGAAAGTACAAACACGCAGAATATAAAAGAATCCATGATCCAAATCCTAAAAGCTAATCATCGACATACATATGCCCATTGCTGAAGCGACAGATGCAATTTTATGAACATCAACTTGGGTACCTTGATGTTTGTTAAAAGTCTTATACATTTAACCACGTAAACTCAAAATCTTCAATTGGTATGGACTTGTTTCTGCAAAATATATAAAAAGACAAAAGCAATATTTTAATTAACAAACAATTTATATGGCTTTACATCCAAATCATTAAGTCTGGAAATATTCCAAATCATTAAGTTTAGGAAAGTCAATGAAAGGATAAAAGGTACTTACATATATTTCTTACATCTCTCGTCGACGAGTAGCATCTTTACATGATCCACACCTCCTTCTTCAACGGACTCTCTAAACTTGTCTGAAACATTATCAAATATGTATCCTTGTAGTTTAGTAAGGTGCTCAATACCCTGTGGCAATGTTTCTAACGTCATGCAACTACGAATGTCTAAGAACTGGAGATTTGGCATCGCCCCTTTTTCTATAGTTATCTTATTTAATAATGCGAAATTTCGAAACTGCAAATTCCAAAGTTTCACAAAGCCTCTGTTGAAACATAACTCTTTCCTAACAGAGGCATTATCAAGCCAAAGATAACGTAGAGAGGGCAACGCTTCAATATGAGGTAGTAAATCTTCTTCAAGTTCGGACCCACGCAGATTCAAATATGTGAGAGAGTGGAGTGAACAAAACCAATGTGGTACCTTTTCCAATTTGCCGACCAATTCAAGACTATCAAGGTGGGGAGGCGGTGAAGACAATGCGTCAACTCGAAGAAATTCCTCTCCATCAGCTACCAATAAACCCAACTTGGAAATGACCTTCATCTCTTGAATTGAGGCACATAGGTCCTCCTCGTCTCTTTCTTTCACATTTGAAATGCCAAGTCTCGTAAGCTGGGTCATATTTCCAATAAGTCTAATAATGTTTCCTTCTGATTCAATATATGTCAAAGTTTGCAATTTCTTCATCTTACTAATACCTGATGGCATTCTTACCCCAATTATCTTTCCGAGCCTGCCCGCAAATAAATAGCGCAAGTTTATCAACTTGGAAATCCCTCTTGGAAGTGCCTCTATTTTTGTCCGCATGATGTCCAAGGCCTGAAGGTTGCGGAGCTTTCCAATGGATTCCGGAAGCTCCGTAATTGGAGTTCCACTCAAATTTAAATATTTTAAATTAAATAAGGATGTTAGATTGTCTGGCAGACAATCAAGTGGGACATCCTCCAAATCTAGAACCTTCAACAATTTAAGGTCAAAAGGTAATTTATTTGAGAAAGAGAATGAGGATACGCCAGTGGCAAAGACGAGAAACGAACGAGGCCGTGATATACCTGTGCATGATACAATTTCTCCATTAGTTGTTTGAATTGACAAACGGAGTGCCCCTGTTTCTTCTACTGTTTCACTCCCATCATGTACATCGCAAAACTTTTCTTTTTTTGCTATAGACAGAGCAATCTCCCGCAAAAGATCATGCATCTTACAAGCTACTTGGTGTCCTCGAAACCTTTGCTGTAGCATGTTACGAAAAATGAGTTCCATAAGATAGCTATTTGCAACTTTTTCTGGCGTGAGCCCTT